CTGTTGTTCTTTGGCCTGACCTTGCCACCATAAAGCAAATAAGCACAGGCAGCCTGTCATCTCCTAAAGCAGGTGAGTGGTCAACGGCTTTCATCTCCAGCTGGAGGAAATTAAATAGTACATGTGACCAGCAGGCTTGAAACTGCTTGAGAAAGCTGCCAAGACACATTGAGACCTGCTAGGGTGAGAAGTTTTAAATATCCAGAACTATCCTTCTCAAAGATCACAAGTACTTAAAGGCAGTCCTTCTTTTATTCAGGCATAGTAAATGAAGAATTTTTGAACTCTCTCTCAAGATTTTGCCATCAAATCTTAAAGTTCAGCATTTAATAGAGTTACTAACTTGAATTTGGAAATCAGTTGAGCACACCTTTGGTGGGAAGGCACTTCAAAGTGACAGGTTTATTTCCTTTTAATGAAATAGTATGTTTGCTTCTGTTTGATTCACAGTTAAACAAGTCATAGCATCTGGGAGAACCATCTGGAAGACTCAACAAGGACCAACCAAGTCTTTCCAAGGAAGTCCTTGTACGGTGGAAGCAGTATATACAATGGTTAGGAAAAGATGGCTTCAAACCAGAAAGACAGGAGCCAAAACAAGCTCTGTGACTAATAACCTGTATGGACTTGGACAGGTGACTAAAATTCTCTAAGCACCAAGATGCCTGGTCCAACAGAGATGATAATAATAGGGCCTATCTTACAGAATGCTGCATGGAGTAAATGAGACAATGAATATACCACATTTTATACAAAGTAATTGCTTAATCCAGTGTAGTTATCTTCACCTTATTAACATTAAAGGTACAAGTAATTTTTATATAGTAGAGTACTTAACATTTCCTTAAGAAAAAATACAAAAATGTGGGTCACACCTACCATTGAAATTAATTCAACCATTTAGGCCATTACCATGAAGTTCCGTAATGATCCAGAGACATAGTGAAGTCATTAACAGCCCTCAAAGATTTTGTTCTTTTTTCCAATCCCCATCATATTTATATTTTTTTATTCAAATTTTTTAAAAGACCTTTTTTTTGCAAATGTTTAAGATCTCAAAATTAACACACAATTTTTGACTTACAATATTTCTTAATTTCCTTACATATCTTCCTTTATCAGGAATATTGCTTCATCTTCTTAACTTGAAAACCATGAAGAAAGGTATAAGACTATATTCCAGAAAAGCCAAAGATCATCCAAATAAGTGCAAAGTCAAAATTTCCAATTATATGTTTAGAATGATCCTTCAGAGAATTTTCTTGTATATCTCTTTATCTAATTACTTAGCTTAGTAATTCAATTATTGCTAAGTAATTAATTAGAATTTCACATCTTTTATAATGACTTGAAGAGACAAAAACAAGGATAGTTTAGAAATTGGTTTTCAACATTCTTTGGTACTGTTACTAAGGTAAAATAAGGCTTTTGTCTACTGTACTTATTTCAGAAAGAGTATTAAAAGTTTCTACATGCCACCAAATACAATAACTTAGTGCTCTTAATCAAGAAGGGAGATGAAGGAGGCCTATCAGAAACACATGAGGACCAGCTTCTTAGGAATCGAAATCTGTGCCTTGACCCCAGGATAGTATGGAGGGAAGAGGACAAAGAAGGGAAGAGTTGTTTCTCTAAGTGAAAACATATGCCCCTTGATGCCAAAGGAGACAGGAAGAAACATAGTGTTTATAGTCTGTTTAAGTAAGTGACTTCTGAAAGATGGAATAAAAGCTCAATTTAAAAAGACACCAAGAATGGTCAATACATTTGGCTTTGTAAAATCAGTACCCTTATTCTTAAGCAAATGCTAAACCTCCATGAGAAATTAATCACATCATTCAGCTGGAAATAAATTCTCATTTGAGGGTTCCAACTCCAAAGAGAGAAATAAAAAACAAAGTTGAGGGAGATGTAGGACAGAAAAGATAAATTGGACAAGTCTACAAAACTGCTTGCAGAAAAAACCAATTCTACTGACTTTTACACTTGGTAAACAATGACAACAACAATAATGACAGAAAACCTGAGGAAGGAAAATCTATTGCATGTTAAATAAAAATTCTTTAAATATACTATTACTTGGTACTGAGAGAGTGGGTATATTTTACACATGAAATGTTCAAAAATTAATGAACTTACTTGCTTTTCCCTTTGTATACTGTAGCATAAGATCCTTCCCCTAGTTTTTCCAGTTTTTCATATGAGTCAGCTTTTCCAAATTTGGGACTTGTTGGCTAAAAATGAAGCAGAGGGTAAACAGATTGTATCAAACAAATTAACAATAAATAACCCAATTTTGCTGAAAATGTAGATTCTCTGTCAGTTTTTAAATAACTTTTTTCTGCTATAAGAATGTTTATTTTTAAAAACAACGTAAGTATTCAGGGTACAAAACTCAGAAAATGCAAATGAACACAGTGTAGAAGTTTAAATTTACCCATAATCTAATCATCAACAGGGAACCACAATTAATATTGTGATATCTCTTCTTCTAGTGCTATCTGTATGCTGACGATTGCTTTTTTACACTAATGTGATTACACTACACATACTGTTTTGTAACCTGCTTTTTTCTCCCACTCAATATATTATGAATATTTTCCATGTTATTATTCAATCTTCTAAAATAGAGGCTGGCAAATCCAGCCCACCACCTATTTTTGTACATTCCATAAACTTAGAAAGGTTTTTACATTTTTTAATTGGGTGGGGGAGAGAATCTAAAGGAGAATGTAATTTCATAGCATGTGAAAATTATATGAAAATCAAGCTTTAGTGTCCATAAAGTTTACTGGAATGCAGCCACATTCATTCATTTACATACTGTCCTCTGACTTTCAAGCTACAAGAGAGTGGTAGTTACCACAGAGATCGTATGGCCAACAAAGCTGAACATATTTACTACCTAATCCAGGCTGTAAATCATGACTGTTCAAAACTCAGTCATCTAAAGTTACTCCTCTAATATCTTTTAACAATAATGCAAACAGATAATCAAAGATGTGTCATTCAGATAGTATCTTTTCTGCCCTAACATAAAAGGAACTCTATGTTTAGACTACATCAATCCTTAAGGTTTAGCCACAACAATATAACTCTTCCTTAAGAAACTGTACATCCCATCAACACCACAGAAGGGCTTGAGTGAGTGGTCTCATCACTCTTGCTGTGCTCAACTTCCACCCCAACTTTCACCAGAAAGCAAGAAAAGGGGAGTGTTGTCCCCCAGGGGATATATTATCTAGTATTTTAATGTTATTATACAAGGATAATATTGAAACATATTAGAAAATGATAATTATATAAGAAATTAAAAACACCTTGAACAGATTATGTAATCACAGTTATAAATAAATTTATAATTGATTAAAACATTACTAATGATCGTGGTACTCTGTAAGAAACCAATTTTAGAAGCTTAGGGAAAGAAATTCTTGCAGAAAGTTTATAGTACACTATTCTTAACCATGCACTCTTACACCACTTACGAAAAACACAGCATACTCACAATGAATCTGACTCCCACAATCTATAAGGATTTTATGTGATGAACTGAGCAATGCTTCTTACCTCCTTTCCACCCAAAATGCCACATAGTTACGGAAAAGATATTTTTCAAAAATAGTAAATCAGGAACAGGGATGGGAACCAAAAAAGACTGCAAATATCTAATCAGATACTTTGAGGAATTCTAAAAGATAAAAAGTAAACAAAATCAAAATTTCAGAGAAAAGACTGAAGGAACTTAAAGTCCTAACATGTAGGAGAAGACTAGTACAGATAAAAGAAGCAAGACTCTCCAGGTAAATATGAGACTAATCAACACAGTTGAGCACATGGTGTCCTCCCAAGCAAACTGCAGGAAATTCTGCAGAGGAGACAGCTGAGAATGTAGATATTCCGGCTAGCAGGAGAGAGCAAGGACTAAAGTTGCCAATATCTAGAAAAAGGATGACACCCCCCATGTCCAAATTGTAATTCTTGAGCACATAATCACTAGAGACAACTTATAGAAAACAGAATAAGCTGATAGCAATTCTCAAATACAAAAATGAGTATGCAAGCAAAAATCACAAATCATTTCAGAAAAGAAAGCATAAAATTCAATAGGCAAATAAGCTAAACCCTGATAAGAGAATTGACACTGCAAAGGTAAGAATAACTTTTAATAAAAATAACCAGTGCTTCAGAGAGGTTTAAGAAGATATCACAACCTTGAAAAAGAAATATAATGGTTATTTAGAGATTAAGTATTTAATCAGTGGAAAAAACATGTATGGGCAGTGAATAAAAGAATGGACATAGGTGAAAAAGTAATACACTGAACATTCGAACATAATCCTCCCAGAAAACTCTAGGGAGAGGCAGCATCTAAACGGAAACATTATTCAACAAGCAAAATATTTTTTAGACAATTATGGCTGAAGAGAGACAATCCCAATATTCAAAACCATTTTCCCTTTTCATTTTGAAAATATTCCTTGTCTTTTTTCAGCCATTTTATCTCAATATAAGATGTAGCTGGAGTGATGGGGGAAGTGCAGGAAGGCAAGAAAAGATAAAAAAGGAGAAATAAAAGCATGCTGAGACTTACTGGATTGTTTAGGATAGACTGCAGATACTGATTAACTCCAAATGCCTAAGTTTTAGTGTATTTCTTAACATTTAAAAGGTAACTGCTGGAATAAATAAGATGTACAAATTCCAAACAAATTAAGGAGGGAAGAAATAGAAGAAAAAAGTACAAGGAAGAAGGGGGAAGAGGGTAAGGAATGAGAAGTTAAGAGAAATGGGGGGGTATACAATAAGAAAGCATATTAAGTAAAAAAGCATAAAATAAGAAGGAAGTTAAATCCAAACATATCAATAATTATAATAAATATAAATTTTAAAACTCTATTTATTAACAAAAAGTTCTTTGATTGGAAAGACAAAGAAAATCTAGCAACGTGCTAGTGAGAAGAGACAAAATTAAAACAAAAGAGTAAATCTGAAAATAAAGGAACATGGAGAAAATGTAGAAAAAAAAATTTTCCCCATGCATTACAGCAATATTGATGGTAGACAAGACAGAATTCACAAAACAGCAAATAGATTAAATTAGTATATCCTATAAATATGAACATTAAAATCCACCAAGCAATTTAATAATCATAAACTAGTATGAGCCCAACAACATAGTTTTGTAGTGTATCAAACTGCTGATAGCAATAAAATGAGAAATTATCAAATCCACAGTGATAACTGGAGATAAACATACATCACTCAGACCTCACAGAGCAAGCAGATGACCAATAAGTAAGGGATATATAGTCTTGAATATTAGAATTAACATCTTAATCTAATATACATATTAATATATATTCTTTTCAAGTATATATTTAACATTCACAAAAAATGGCCAGATAAGCCCTCCAAAAATCTCAATATTCAAAACTGCAAAAACATTTCAAGTTAACTTCTTCTGAACACAATGCAATAAATGAGAAATTATGGATAAAAGGAAAATTTATCCTTTAAGTTGTTTAGCCACATGGGCTAAAAAGAAAATCAAAATTGAAAATTCATAAATAAATATGTGGCACTGAGGATATGACATTTTAAGATCAATGGGATGCAGCCAAATTAATATCTAAAACAAATCTGAATATATGTACACAGAACAGAAAAGAAGAAAAGTTGAAAGTATAATTTGAACAGCTGGAAAAGGAACAACAAAAGACACAGTACGAAGGAATTAATAAAGAAAACAGACCATCTATTTTTTTCTTCAAGAAACTTGTAAAGTACCAACCATGTGTTGAGTTGCATCAAGTAAAACTTAATGGAAAATTACATTCAAAAGCGCCTGACTAGTCCTGTGTGGGTTATGTTCTCATGCATTTTTCATCACCGAGAAACAGCTTGCGAATGTCACACTTTACCATCACCCTCCTGAGCCCAAGTTTTAAATAGAAAATTTTAAAACTATATTAAACTTCAGTATAAAATGATCTTCAATGGGGAAAATATTGTGTTCACAGTTCCATTCTAAATTATTTAAAATCAGAATGAGAAGTCTGTATGTTTCCTTTTGTGCTCCTTTAAGAATAAATCCAGTTTAAGTTTTAGAAAAAAGTAGCAGCAGAAAACTACCTCTTTAGTCCTATTAAGAGATAAACTGCTAATGTGCATTTAAAGCAAGTACAAGACACACAACATTGGTAATAGAATAGGAAGCTAATATTTTCTCTTCCTATAAAGGCACAAAATTTTCTAAAAATGATATATTTCACTCTTCACACACTGCCTTATGTAAGTTGATGTAATCATTTTAAGGCATAGATCCTATTAAACTTACCACTTGAAGAAACTGAGTTGAGGAAATTAGAAAAACAAGGATAATACTCTTTTTTAGCCTACATTCCATTTATCTACAAGAAAAATCAAATAAGAGATGCTAATGGCACAAAGTATTCTATTTATCTAATGGAATGCATTTGGATGCATTAGCTGCCGTGGTTAAAGTACATTCTATTAACAATGTGATGGTCGAAAATTAATATTTTGCCACATTAAGTGGAAAAACAGTCAATGGGATTTTCCCTGTGAAACTGATAAGCACACATTGTGGAAATATACTGTAATTTACTGATCAATCATGCTAGTACCATACGAAGAATAACACACATGTGATGCCTCTCTAAAAGTTGTTCTAGTCAACAAAAGAATGGGACTATGGAACAGACCACGTCTATGAGATAGTCTGAGCTTTAAGAGTTAGATTCTTGTAAAGTTGGTCTCCTATTTTAAGTACACAGAAATGTTCTGATCTGTAATTACTATGCATATAAATAATGAATCCAAATGCCAAGTGTTTAAAGAGGCCAATAATACACTTCTCCCTATCAAATGAGCAAACTAAGAATAATTCAGAACGAGAAGCCCTATTCTGTTTGATAATTAAAATTCAAGCTTTTGGTTTGCCTTTCTTTTTTCTTGCAACTTTATTAAATCATGACATTGACACAAAGATGCTAGATCAAACCAATATATAGTCAACCCTGAACATTATCTTTGGCTCTTTGATGTCAGGTGCATGGATAGATGAGAAACAGCTTTAAGGGGCAACTATTCTCTGCTTATCGCTTCCCTACTTAAGTGCAGGTAGAGATAGCACTTTAGAGAACTGGAAATACAGAGGGCTAATCAGCAATTATTAACAGACACTAACTGCACAGAGATGTAGAATTTA